TACATGTCCTGAATTTATTGTATGCTTATTAAGTTGGGCAATTAACTCCCACTGACCATGGGAGGTTTTTACTACAGCTCATAGTCTCCACAAACATAAGTGGGAAATATGATGTCCTTATCCCTGATGCGGAGCTGGCCACAGAGCAGCGTGCAATTGGTGTTTGCGCGTGTAGATCGTCTCCAGTGTTGTCTAGTGAATTCTCCAGGTTGTCTCACGTGGCCTGTTAAAATGATCGGCATCTTCCAGTGTCGTATTTTCTGCCATTCCTCTTCTTTGGGAAATACATTGTTCTCTATTTGGAAAAAGGTATCTTGTTCATGAATGTAATAATTAAATGTTTCAAAATATCCATATACTGGCAGGTTTGGAAAATCAGCACATCAGGGTTCCATTAGCCACATTAACCTGTGGATATTTTTTAAATAATGACATTGGACATGTTCCTCCAAGTGTCTTGGTGGTGAAGAAATATGTTTGTTCCATGTCATATTATTATGAAATTTATCTGGTTTCTGACTAATGTTAGCAATCTTTATATAATCCTTAGCGGGGGTAGGGGTGGTAGACATGGTTTCTTCATCGTCTTCATCGTCTTCATCGTCATAACTCTATACCCTTCCTAAGCTATAGGTGGTTCCAACACTTGCTTTTCCCATACTCCTCTATATGCTGTTAAAAATTGGGTCCACATTCTGTCTCTGCAGGTGAAAATGTCATCACTGTCTTCGGATGAGGGAATCACTCTGGTGGTGAATGGAATGTTTGTCTTCTTTCCCATAACGTGATATTCAATCTTTGTCGTCTTTGGCTCAACTTCCTAATAATAATTCACCAACACAGCCGTCGCTTCTCTGCCTCTCTCCATTCTTCATTTAAAGCACATCTTACTGGGTTTCTTTCCAAAATATTGGTATTGTTGTCCCTGTCAACATTTTCTTTATGCATCATAGCTGGGCTGCCTGGTGACGAGTAGGATTCTCTGCACGTTTTGAAATGCACACGTGCAGGGTATTTTGCACATTGTTGGTATTTATGCCAAAAATTGTCCATATTTCCACAGTTCTTGACTTTTCCCGTGGCACCATGGTTGTATCAATTTGTAAGGGTTTATTGTTTCCTTTGGTCTTTCATGTTTCACTGTCGTGGTTGGTTCGGTGGATGTTGACGAATCTTCTGGTTTTAGCAGTAGTAGTACTAAGAGTACTGCTCTCCCTTTCCAGGAAAGGTCTCGACAGGACAGAGGGTGTGGTTGGTCATCCACTTGAATTTCCAACCGTTTTCAGTATTCCCAGCGGTCTCGTTGCAAGCGCGGCGTCCACAGAAAGGGTCATGTCCGGTTAAGATGATGCCGGCGGAAAGTCTCCAAGAAACACATCAGGCGGCTGACGTGCAGTGTGATATCACCCATCCTTCCGTGCTTGTAGCTGGTTGGTTGCTGTTAGCTGCAGCTGTCCTTTGCCTCCTGTGGTCCAAAACGCCTTCTCCGTTGCCGGCATGACAATAGCCTGTGGGATAAGCAGATTGAAACTCGCTTCTCCTTTGTATACTTCCTTAGGCAACAAGACCTTATTTTCTTTAACTCCTCTGTCTATGTCACATATCTCTCCAGGAAACACTTCATCAAAGGGACTTTTTCAACCAAGTCTCTGGTTGAGTTCAAATGTTGCTATTTTAATAGCTTTATGAATATCCTTTTTCGGGCCATCCTCGAGTTTCCGTTTTAGTCTATTCCATCTCTCTATGTTCCTGCCACTGTGGGATTATACACTATGTGGAAATTCCGCATTATGTCCATGCTCTTAGCAAAATGTTGTACCACCTGTCCAGTAAAATGACTTCCTTGATCCGATTCTACAACGCACAGAGTATGAGATTGTGCAATCCAGTTCCACAACGTATGGACTGTGGCTAATTGGTTTGGTTTTTTTTTTTATGTGCTTCTGCCAGTCCCAAACCCGTAGTTAAATCCAATTTAGTTCATGCGTATAGCCCTTTAAATTTACTCAGCAGTCCAATAAAATCTCTCTGCAGGACTTCATTAAAATTTTTTGTAGTAGTATTAGATCCTATTTTATTTCTCCTTAACTTTGTTAGTCCTTGCACACAGCCTTCCCACTTAGCAATCGCCCCTTTAACTTTGTGCCAAGTAACCTTAATATTTCTGAGCGTAAACAACAAAAATGTTCCATGAGTTCCAATATGTCCTGATTCGTGGTGAAATTTGAAGATTTCTTCATCTGGAATTGCGCATTCCGTATTCCTTTCTAATACTTTCCAATCACCTCTAAGACGAATCTTAATTGGCTCCTGTTTAACAACCTTCCATTCCCTCTTTAATCTGGTCACCATGGTCTCGCCAGCCTCTCTGCCTCACCATTCAATTTGCTGGTAGCATCATTCCTGTTAGTTGGGCGTCTACGTGACATGACTCCTCACGTCCTTGGACGCTTGGTCCAAACTTCCCCAAACATCTGTGCTCCACAAAGCTTTTCCAGTAATTTTCCAGGTTGTAGCCTTCCATTTGGCCGACCAGAGAGCTATACCACTGCAAACGCACCAGCATCTGCATAGATTCGTATACTTTTCTTTCCTTCTAACTTCGTTTGCTCCAGTGCCAGTTTTACTGCGTGTGGCTCAGCGTGCTGTGCCGAGGAGTTAGTCCCTCCACGTGTGATGACCTTCCCGGCCGAGGGTCTCTAAGCTGCAGCCTTCCAGCGCAGCCCCCCAACCGTGCTGGTGCTGGAGCCGCCCGGGAACCTTGCGTCCTCCTGCTCATGTGACCCCGGCGGGGTACCCTCTCCCCAACAGGTCTTGCTTTCCCAGTGCCCGCGCTGTTTATGGGTACAGGTATAATGGGGTGTTGTGCCACCTCCTCTACATGTCCCAGCACAGATGTTTTAGTGCTCGCAGGTGGTTTCTGTATGTAGTCCTCCAGGTGCCATCTCCCCTGCAGTACCTGGGGCGCTATCTTAGCGCCTCGGAGTTCTTCTCCCTTCACTTTTATCCACTCAGTTACCTGCGCGTTTGTTCGGAGGGCTCCAATTTGGTTTGACCACACGCTGTCGAAGGTTTCACGGCTTCATACACCGTCCAGATTAATTTCTCGAAATATGAGCATTTGTTTTCGGCATATGGAGACGTGTGCAATAGAAAGCTATGGGCTTGCTCTGGTCAGTCATTAAGCACCCATTCCCGCATCCTGGGGCACAGACCACATCAATCTTAATATCCTGGTCTCTGCCACATACCGTTACATGGTTTCAAATGCGTCTCGCTGTTCAGGTCCCCTGAGAGGTCTGATCCTTCCTCGCTGTCTCACATGCAGGTTTCAGAGTCAGCTGTAAAGGCGGGGTGTGGCGGCGCCCGTGTCCAAACCTGCCGGCTACACGTTGGGCTTCTCTCCTCCTCCAGGTGGTGCCAGATCCAGCATTTTATCGAAGGTTCCTTCTGTCGTTCTTGGTCCACCGTCCCCTGCAGTCCAGGAACCTCACCCAGCTCCTCCGTCTTGCACCTTTTCTCTGTTGACTGTCCAGCCTCCGTCCTCAAATAGTCGTGTCAGAGTCTCTAGAAGCTGCTTCGTTTCTTCTCCCCGCGCCCGAGAACTAACATGGTGCCCGTAGGATGGACTGTGCACTCCCACTTCGGCGCTTCACCCCAGGCCTGTTGCACGCTCACGTGTGCGATTTTCGGACTATTCTTGTATCCTTGGGGCAGTCGTTTAAATTGGTGGTGTTTTTCACCCCAAGTAAACACAGTAAGTTCTCTGCTGTCCTCTTGCAGAGCTGTTCCAAAGAACATATCGGACAAATCAATCGCCGCCATGCACTTTGGGGCATATTTAAGTATTTCATTGGATTTTCCTGTTCTGTGGGGCAGCTCTCCCGGCACCACTGGCGTCAATTTATCGACGTTCCTGGAAACTCAAGGGGCCTGAGGAGGGGCCCAATGCTGAGGGGGCTTCACCCTGGGCTGAGACACAAGAACCTGGAGGGGGGGTGACCCAAGCCACTGGCCAGGAGTCTCAGGGACCCCGGGAAACCTCCAGCCTCACCACCTGTGGGGAACCATGGCTCAGAGTCTTCTCTCCAAGCAAGCCCCAGGGGTCAGGCTGTCCGAGGGTCCCTTTGTCATGTCCAGGGCAGCCGTGAGCCCCAGAGTCCCCTCACTTTCCATCATGGGCTGTTACAGGGTCCCTGAGGTCACGCTGGCCTGTTGCTCCCCAGCCAGGGCAGCTCTGACCCGCAGGAGGGCTGGGTTCGGGCGGTGGGGTGTGCCCGTCCCTGCCCGTTCTGACCTTGGCCTGCCCTTCCGGGCTCCTGAGTCCCCGTCCTGGTCTCAGGAGAAATCGTCGGGCCCAGGATCTGCACCTGACTGGGGCCTGTGTGTGTGTGCGTGTGTGGGGTGAGTGTGCACATGTAAGCGTGTGTGCAAGTGTGTGTTTGGAGTGTGATGTGTCTGTATGATTGTGTGTGCATGTGCGTGTGTGTGCGTGCATTGTGTGAGCGTGCGTGTGTGTGTGTGTGTGTGTGCATGTGTGTGGGGGTGCAGGGACACAAAGGGACGTCAGGAGGGAGGCCGGGAGGCTGCAGAGGTGGGAACACCTGATCTGCCCACCCCTCCCCCAGCTTCCTGCTGTGGCTTCTCCCCCTGCCTGACCCGCCTCTTCCTCCCACAGATGAGAAGGAAGAAAACACAAAAAGACACGAAAGTGTCCACCTGGGACCTCCCCCCCCCCCCACAGCAGGGGCCCCTGGGGACGGGAGCACGGGAGGCTCTGCTCCGCCCTCCAGGCCTGGCCTCCGCCTCGGGCAGCTCTTCTCACGGGAGGGCAGATGCGGCCTCGGCCTCCTGCTCGCTGTGCCCTTTGCAAGTCTGAGTGGGGAAAAGAGTCTGAGACGAACCTGCTGCGTGTGCATTTACTGAGCCCCCACTGTGTGCCTGGACCAGAACCAGGCCCCGAATTCCTGCATTGTGGGTCTCTGAGGCCCACCCCCACCCCAGCCTCCTGAGCTTCCCCACCCCTCCCCGCCTCCCAGGACTGCCCAGGGCTTCCTGGCCTCGCCCAGACCTCAGACCCCAAAATACCCTGGGTCTGGCCTCACCTGCCCTCCACCAGAAGCGGCCCTGGCTCATGCACGAGGCGAGCCTCTGAGCTTTCCTCTTCCCTCCACCTTGTTCTGAAAGGGGCTGTGGGACCCCTGGCCCTGGGACCTGGGACACAAGACCCCAGGCCTCCATGGAGACCCCCTATAGGGGTGTTCCCAGAAGGCCCCTCGGTCACTGCTCCCCGGCCATGGTCTTGCCTCCTCCAGGATGGCCCCCAGGACTGCACGCCCTGCACCCTGGGCTCCTGGAATGTTTGCTCCCAATGGACTGTAGCAGGGTCACAGCAAGAATCAGGAGGGGCTGCGGACTGTGCGTTGGTTTTACGCAAGGAGCTCAGGGTCCTCTTCCAGTCTCTCGAAAAGAGGGAGACAAATGGGGGCCGGTGACCCCAACTCCCACCAGCCCCTGACTGGGCCTCACCTCCCCAGGGCTGGCTCTCTTCCCCGCGCTGCTTGGCCTCCCCACAGGGGACGTGTTAACACGACCAAACACCCAGACCGCAGAGCAGGTCACGTGGTTTCCCAGAAACAGCCTGTGCTGAGCAGCCACCCGGGCGGGCAGGAGGTGCAGGCAGCAGGGGCGCGCTGCTCAGCACGTCTCAGCGCACGTCTGAGTCCGGCCGAGTCAGGCACCCGCTATGTCTCCTCGCTGAGGTGAGGCAGGGCCGGGGACGGACGAGCGGCCAGCAAAATGTGGGGTCGGGGGTACCCTCAGAGGATGCGCAGGGACAGGTGGAGGTGAAGGGGGTGCTGGGCTGAGGGGGCCTGGGAGAGTGGGGTGATTACGTGTAGGGTCTGACCTTCCTTCTAGAAGGGGTGACAGGGGCCACAGGCTCGGGCTTGGGGACCCTTGGACTGACCAGGGCTCAGGACTGGGCGGTGGGGTGGGTGCCCCTTTCTTGGGCCCAGCAATCCCGGGGCAGCGGTGATGGCCCTGGGCGCCCCGAGCCCGTCACTGGGGAAGGAGGCGCAGCAGGCTGGGCCCAGAGGCCACGGGGCCCGTCTGGAGAGACGATCCTGGGGGCCCAGCTGCAGGGAGATGGGAGCACGGGGTCCCGGGGAAGGGTCGGGGGCAGCCCTGGCGACTTGGTGTGACTTCCACAGGGTGAGACCTGATACCTGGAGAAGATGCCATTATCAGAGGATGATTTAACGTTCGTGGTAAGACAAGTCCCCCACCTGCACCGTCATCAACTGGGACGGCCGTCCCCCCAGCTCCAGGCCCAGTGCAGGGACCTGTCCTCACCCCGCGGGCCGCTGGCAGGGGTACCTAGAGAACTGAAGGCCCGGGGGTCAGGACGGAGACCCCAGCCCCGCAGGGTGGGGAGACCCACACCATAGACCAGCCACTCCAGGGGCCCCCTGGGAGCCCTCAGCCCCCCCACCTGCTGGAGGGAGTCCGGGGGCTGGACTCAGCGGGCTCCGTCTCCCCAGCGCCTGGAGCCCCCCGCAGTGTGCCGCACCCCTGAGCACTTCCCGGCCAGCCTGCTCGGGGCCCCAACACCCGCTTCCTGGCAGGGAAGATGGCAGAGCTCTGCGGGGTGGCACCACCCGGGTGCAACCAGCTGGTCACCACCGAGGGGGCCGCCGAGTTGGGCCGGACCTGCCCGAGAGCCCATCCCTGTTGCCAGCCCCGGAGCCCAGGGTCCCCCCATCCCACCCCCGTCGGCGGGGCGGGGTCCCTGGTCTCCATGTCCTGCCTGTGGGAGTGGGCTTGGGGGCCGGAGACTGACAGCCTCGGTGTAAATGCAGGACTGGACACAGTGCAGGTTTTCTAAGATCCCATGCAGACTGGGTAAAGGAGGAGTCAGAGTCCTTAGTGGCTTTTTGCAGGTCTTTTTATTGGGATTTACCCGGTACACGGCAGGTAAGGGTGCTGGGGGGCCGGGAGGCTGGCAGTCCTCCCAGCCCCCAGAAAGTCTTCATTCTACCTGGGCTCTCCGGCCTTCTCTCAGCTTCTGCTTCTCTTGCTTCTCTCTCGGCTTCTCTCTCGGCTTCTTTCTCAGCTTCTACTGGCGTCCCCGTGATTCCGCCCTTAAATAGCACAGTCTTAGCGCAGGTGTACCCACTTCAGGTGCCCGCCATCAGGCATGCATTCAGAATCAAGGGTTCCCTCATCTATCCCGATGGCGGGAGGGCAGAAAAGCCTGATACCTTTTACCTTACCCTACAGTCCACCCCCTCAGGGTTTTCTGCCATACAATCTACGTATATACAATTTTCTTAGCAAACAAACACTGCAGCCATGGCCCACAAAAGCAAATACATCGCAATATAACAAAATACAACAGAACACAAATAAGTCCAGGCAGGGCCCCAACCTAGTGCAAAAGACAATTATTGGCACCAGCAGATGAGCCACCAAATCTGCTGCCGAAGGCACTGCTCATACGAGGGAGGGGAACCACTCACGGCATCTACTGTGACACGCCAGGAGCCGTCAGGCTTCCCGGCCTTCTCTGGCTGTCGTCTCGGCTACAAGCCACACACAGCATCCACCCCCAGGATGCACTCGCTCTGGGATTGGCGATTCTATTCTGTTGGGGGTAATCGCCCACCCTCAGGGTTTCTGTCTGCAGTCGCTCCAACACTCAGCCTTCACAGCCACTAATGCGACACACAGACCCCTGCACTCAGGCCAACCCACTGCACAAGCACATGGGTCGGGGATCCAAACTCTACATTTGGCTTGGGCTCCACCCCAAGCCACGTTCCCCACCCGTCCCCCAAGGACAGGTTCCTCAGCTCCTCACCCTCACTCAGGAATGAGCAGGGCATCCCCCACAGGTGATTTTACGACAGTCACAGGGCTTCAGCATACCCAGGCTGCTTCACAGCTGCTTAGGGCTCCTCAACTTAGCATCAGCACCAGCTTTTGCCTTCTCAGTTGGCTTTTCTCCTCCGCCTAGCTGCTGGGCACACACAGGCTGCTTTTGGCCATCAAGGCCCACTGGCCTTCCCAAAAAAACATAGCCTGCCAAGGTCCTCCGCCTTCTGGTGGGATTGTCAGTCCAAGTTCATCAGTCCAAGTCCATTAGGCCTTTCCATCAGCACTGGTGAGCTCCAAATTGTGGTCCTCTCTTCGCTGACGATTCTTGCTGCCTCAGGGGTCGTTGGCTGGTCCTCTCGGGCGTCTCCTCCTCCAGCTGAGGTCTCATCCCGCAGCTCCCATATGGTGTCCACCTTCTGTGCCACCATGGTGCCTCCAGCATTGTCACAGGCAAACACAGTTTGTCCCTCCAGGTCTTTGGAGGGCTCCATACCTGTCTGCATGGATCATCCTGCTGACTACACCAACTGTAGGGTCCAGGAATGGCCACTGAGCAGGTTTTCTAAGATCCAGCAGACCGGGTAAAGGAGGAGTCAGAGTCCTCAGTGGTTTTTGCAGGTCTTTTATTAGGGTTCACCAGGCATACGGCAGGCAGGCGTGCTGGGCTAGGCAGGCCTCCCAGCCCCCAGCAAGTCCTCACTCTGTCTGGGCTCTCCAGTGTTCTCTGCTTCTCTCTCAGCTTCTGCTACTTCTTTCTCGGCTTCTCTTTTGGCTTCTCTTTTGGCTTCTGCTGCTGCCGGCGTCCCCGTGACGCCGCCCTTAAAAGCAGTCTTAGCGCAGGTGTACCCACTCCAGGTGCCGCCATCAGGCGTGCATTCAGGATCACAGGTTTCCCTCATCTATCCTGATGGCGGAAGGGCAGAAAAACCCGACACCTTTTACCTTACCCTACACTCGGGTACCACTGCAGGCTGTGGTTGCTGCTGTTACTGCTGCTGTGGTGTACGCCGTGGGCTACAGCATTAGGAGAGTACGGGGAGCGAACGAGCAGGAAGACGACAGGGAGCTCAGGAAGCCACCTGATAAATCCACCTAGAGGCCAAGAGCCAGCACACCTGTGATTCCCTGATGAGCCACAGGTTGGCCCGGGGCCCTGACTGGAGGAGGTGGGGTGGGGAGCAGGGAGGGTGGGGTGTGTGGGTGGAAGCTGAGCCTTGAGCTGGGCCCTCCCCAGCGGCCACCCTGAGCCTCCTTCCGGGGCCCTGGCCCTACCTGACCTGACCCTTGTCTGGCAGGGAAAAGCGAGTCACCAAATCTCGAGGCGCCGGGAGGAGACGCGGCCTGCAGCTCCCGCGCTGCCCCTGTGGGAGTGACCAGACTCAACCTTTGGGCCGAAAATGAAAAGCGTGGCCACCCCTTTGCGAGCCTGCCGCGTGCTCACTGCTGCTCCCCTGCCCACCCCTGGGCCCTCTCTCGTCACCAGCTGCCCTCTGCGGCCCGCACCCCCCTCAGGGCCTGGAAAGGGAGAAACTCCCCCACCTGTCCTAGCCCCCGCCCAGTTGCGGGGGCTCCACCACAGCCTCCGTGCCCCAGCAGGACTGACCCGGCTTCACCTCACGCCCACGCTGGCGCCTCTGCCCAGACCCCACAGGTCAGGCCCCGACTGGGACTCTTCAGGATGCATGGCCGGTCCAGGGTCACCCACCTCGTGTCCAGCGTGACCCCACCTCATAGCCCCGGCTCACTCGTGCGCCGCAGTGACCCAGGGCCGGGGAAGTTTCCTCTCTAGGTACCGACTTCTCGTCAGGTCGGTCCCAGCGTCCGGGTGGGCAAGGTGGGGCGCAGGCTGGGGCTCCATGCCCCCTGCTCCTCGGGGCAGGGCCAGGGCTCAAGCGGGGACCCCGAACTCTTCCAGGCCTTTCATGGAGGCCTGGTCTGCAGGCCCCGCTGTAAAGCACGTACAGAGCTGACAGCAAGGCGTGCACATGAGCCAAAAGGGAAACTAAGAACATGTTAAGATGCATGGGGACTGCACCCCTCACATCTGGGGCCGGGTAGGGGGGGAGCAAATATTGTTGAAAATGAAAAATGATGTAAAAAGTTTTAAAAAATAAAAAATAAAGACTCCACTGAGGTGCCTGCAAGCGTTGCATGAAGGCAGCTGCGGCCACCTCCTGGGTGTGAAGGACGGATGAACACAGGCGCGGGCGGATCAAAGGAGCAGGTGCACGACGCAGCCTCGGAGCAGCCCCAACACTGGCTCTGAGCGAAGTATTCACCCGAAGCTGCGCTGTGGAGTCCAGTTCGCGGCCCTCCTTGGAATCAGACTGCTCTCCCGCCGGAACCTCTCCTCACTCCCCGGCCCCGGCACCCCTCTGCGGGCCCTCGAGCCCAGACAGTTCCAGGCCCGAGCACTCCCACCTGGGGACGGCTGGCTAAGGCACGTCGCAGCCACTGTCTTCAGTCAGAGATACTCTGGGAATTGGGGTGGGCTCACCTGTGTGGACGTAAATGTGTGTGACCAATACAGTAATAAAGCTCTCTTGGTTGTTTTTTAAAAGATTTATTTATTTTTATGCAAAAACTGGGGTACAGGCCAGAGGTGCAGGGGGTGAGAGGATTCACCTGACACAGAGCGGGGAACAGAACAGGCAGACTGACCAAAATGCACTGCTGAGGGAGCAGCGGGGAGACAGGAGAGGTCTGCCGCGCCCAGTGTAAACTAATGAGATTGTTCTAAAACTACATGAGACTTCTTACATCCTAATATGTTCTTTTTTTAAAAAAGATTATTCTTTATGCACACAAGAACTGGGGTACAGGCCAGAGGTGTGGGGGGTGAGAGGATTCACCAGAAAGACCTAATAGGTTCTCGTAGGCCCCGAACATTGTTGTGACCCCAGCAGGGCTCACAGCTCCCAGACTCTGGTCATAGAAACGGACTGTGAGGACCCGCCACCTCCAGGGCGCTCACAGGCGCCTGCTAGGCCCGTCCACTGTAACAGGGCTGAGGGAAGTCATCCCTCAGAAGCCCCAAACTCCCGCATCACTCCAGGCTAGACCCGCTGAGCTGTGAGGGGAGACTGATCTAGACCCGAGACTGCAGACGGACAACCATGTCAGCGTCTCCTTCCTGAGCCAGCCTCGCCCTGAGCTCAGGCCCAGGCGCCAGAGCTGAATCAAGGGCCTAAGACCCTTTCACACGCCTTCAAGGCGACAGCGGCAGGGAGGGGACTGGCTGGACTAAGAAAGGGAGGAAGACAGGAGAAGGCCCAGTGTATGGCCGTCGCCAGAGGCAGTGCCCTGCCACCTCACTCGCCCAGGCCCCGCGCGCCCCCGGGCATTTGCCTCACCTTCTCAGTGGGCTGCCAGCCGCCTCCACTGCCAGGACCAGACACCTCGGCCACAAGTGCCTAAAAACATGGCCCCAGGCCCACACCCTCCGAGCCATCGCTCAGGGCGCTGGGAGAGGGACTGTGCCACCCTCCAGAGAGGAGGAGGCCGGCCCAGCCCACAGGACGGTCAGCTGTCTCCGGCCAGGAAGAACCTGGGGCAGGAAGAAACCTTCTGTGAAGAAGCCCAGAGGTGAGACAGGCTCCCCTTTGGCTCAAAGTCGCGGGTGACCCTAGAAGTGGCCGGCAATAGGGTCACCTCCTTGGTGAGCAGGGGCCGCTCTGCCTGCTCCAGGTCTGGGGACTGGCCTTCTGGTCGGCGTCCCCCTCACGAGTCAGTCAGCCTGGGCCAGGGCACTGCCCAGCCCGCTGCCCTGCTCGCTGCGAGGCCCCATGTGCACACATTGTCCGCATTGTTTCCCTCGCTCCCTCTGTCCGGACAGGACATGGTGGCCGAACCCCAAGCCAGCAGCCTCCGCAGCCCCCGCCGCCTCTCCCAGCCGCCGCCGCAGCTGACAGGAATAGGCGGAGGCCCCAGTTCTCGCTGACGCTGTCATTTGGCTACACACCTGCAGGTGTTCGGGACGCCACAGTCCCAGGCTGAGGCGTCTCTGCCAGCCCTGCTGGGGTGCAGTTACAGGAACCTCCGATCTTCCTGAGGGAGCCGCTCAAGCCGAAGCCCAACAACGCGCCTCAAATTCCCTCGTCTCAGTGGTTCTGTGAAAAACAGAGCCTGGACTTGCTCACGGTCTGTGCCCTCCTGAGTAAACTGGGTTTGGGTGAACAGTTCCAAGGAGGGAAATCTTTTTTTTTTTTTAAGATTTTATTTATACAAGAGCCGGGGTACAGGCCAGATGTGCGGGGGTGAGAGGATTCTCCAGAGACAGCGTGGGGAACAGGACAGGCAGACTAACGAAGTACACTGCTGAGGGGAGCAGCGGGAGACAGGAGAGGTCTGCTGTGCTGTGTGGGTTGCTCCCTGTCTGCCCAGGGATCTAATCTGCACCGTCGAGGCTGCAGCAGCTTCACACGTGGCGCTCAACCCGCTGCGCCCCCGGGGAGCCCCGAGCAGACCGCCTTGGGGGCGCCTCAGGGCGGGGTCCCCAGCGAGGCTCTGGCCACACCTGGCGCCCTGCCCCGCGCTGGACTCACCCGGCCCCGCGCCGCCCCCGCCGGGTCCCGGCTCCCCCCGCGTCTCCTGCGGCCCGGGAGGCTCGTGGGGTCCCGCGGGAGTCCGGCCTCGGCTCCGGGGCGTCGGCCCAGCCCGCGCGGTGTCCGTCGGCCTCGCGGGTCCGGGGGCGGCGCTGGCCTCGCAGCCCCGGCTCGTCCCCGCGCGCCTGACCCGGGAGCGGCGTGTCGCGGTTCATGGCCCGTCCCCAGCGGGCGACGCGTCGGCGTTTCCCAGCACGTGCTCAGGGACGTGATCACACCCCGTGACGCAGGCGACGAGCGTCCACCTGCTGCCGTCGCCGGACATTGGCTGCACAGTCATCATCAACCAAATATTGACTCCACCCCCCCCACGGCGGCGTCCCGGCCGCGGGTGTCCACGGGCGGCCTCGTCCCTCGGCACCTGCCGCGTCTCTGCGCCGCCGCGTCCGCGGGAGGCCGGGTCCGCGCGGGGGTCGGCGATGTGGCCGTTTCATCTCCTCCTCACAGCCACCCCTTGACCCCCGCGAGTGCTGGGGCGCAGGGGACATCCAGAGGCTGTTCTGCTGCCCACGCGGCTCATGCGCTGGCCCGCACCACCAGCACGCGTGGATACTGCGCTCCTGACACTCAAGAAGGCGCCCTGTTGTAGCAGAAACACAGCACAATTCCTAGTCAGTGCTGACAGGGCGAAGTCTTGCAAAGAGGGGCGGACACTGGGTCATCCTTGGTGCCCCCACAGAGGGCATCGCGGGGCCTCCATCCTCTCAGTCTCCAGTCCCCAACGCTGAGCAGTGACGGCGCCCCAGGCAGGCTGCGCACAGCTCCCGAGATTCAGATGAAGAGCCGCTAGCAAGGAAAGCACATGGGCAACAGTCACATAACTTTTCTTATGAATTTTATGAACATGTAAATGTTTACACCATAACAAATGAGCTAAATATCTGAATAACGTTTATCATTAACATTCCCACACTCGTTAAGCAAATTTCCCACTCCAATAATCACAGGAAATCCTCTACAACACTAACAGCAAGATGCTGCAAAACCACCTAAAAGGTGTCTCTGGAATTCCATCCGAACAACCCTGGAAACAAGAAGCCTTTCTTCTCCTGCGGTCGCTCTCGTGAAGCATTCCAGAGAGAACTCTTGGGCTTCATCTTCTGGGTCGATTCCTCTACAGCTCATAATCGTGAGGTTTCTTCTCGTGTTCGATGGATTTCTTATATGCAGTGCTGTGGATTGACCTAGAAACAAGCACACGGACGAGTCTTAATACTATCGGCTACTAATTACTAATACCACAGATATCACAGAGTAACATGCTGCGTCCTTTAGCCAATGGAATGGGTCCCACGTGTAAATACACGTGGTGTCAAGCTTTATCAGTCTTGTAATTGTGTCCCGAATTCTGCATTTTTCAGCATGTTTCCATGTGTTCTTCCATGTTAATCTGTCCGTATTTAAGTTATGCACTATCTTGTGAATGTCTGCATTGGAATGTTCTAAATATTGCCTAGTCCCGTGGACTTTAATTTCTGTATTTCCCATTGCTCAAGCATTGTGTTTGAAGAAGGTCTCTAAAGTATTTGCCTTTTCTTGAAGTTCTCATTGAATACGAAGGTATTCTTCCTCCTCCTTCACAAAGGTTTTAATTTTTGTCCCTACTCTGTCAACTTTGTGTTCTTGGAGATAAGCAACTTGATGGAGTGTAATGTTGCCATCAACACTAGCAGGTACTGTGAATACCTTCTCCACCCGATTACATCCATGGAAGTTGTAGAATGTGAGGTCTACCTTCAGGTCTTGCCCGTGGACATTCATGGGCCACTCTCCGTCAAATGTATTGTTATGATAGTGAACGGTCATATTATAGAGTCCATTTCCACAGATTGGAACTGAACATTTCCCAAGTCATACATTTGGTTTGGTAGCTCAGTTCGAATAATTCCAGTGTCTGCCATGTTTGGTTGCAGCGTTGCTGTTGCAATTACACGTGTGGTTGGATGTGGTATAGGTCATCGAACGGCACGTAGATATTTGTGACGTTGATCCAGGCGTATCTTTCATATATCTGCACCCACTGGTTTTCTATCTTCTATGGGAGTCTCATCATAGGGTATCCAACATGGGCAGTTTCCAGTCTTACTGTGAGGTGATGTATTTCTCAATATCCTTGAGTACAAAAGCTGTCTCTTGTTGGATCTAGTAGAGTTTGGTAATTCATTGTGCCAGTTCCAAGTCCAGCGCTGAAAAGATTTCGAATTTCACTATACATATCTCTGTTGATTTGAAATTTTTAAACAAATTAATCTTTGGTTGGTATTTTCTTTTTTTTTAAAGATTTATTTATACAAGAACCAGGGTACAGGCCAGATTCGAGGGAAGGTGAGAGGATTCACCGAAGACAGAGCAGGGAACAGAACAGGCAGCCTGAAGAAATAAACTGCTGAGGGGTAGCAGTGGGTGGGACAGGAGAGGTCTGCTGAGCCTTGTGGGACCCTCGCCAGCCAGCCTGGATCGAACCAGCTCTGCAGAGTCTACGGACGGTTTCACAGTGCAGCGCTCAACCGCCTGCGCCACCAGGGGAGGCCCTTGTTGGTATTTCTTAATCCTGCTATTAAATCTGATTCATATATCTTTAATACTTTGGATTGTTCAGCAACTTGTGTTTGCAATTCTGTGAGTAGTCCAATGGAATTCGTAATTCCTAGAATTGCTTCAGATTGTTGCTTGGTGACGTGTTCCAAATGTTGAATACTTTCCTTTAGTGGCTCAACCATAACCGCACTAATTGAGCCTCCTGACAGGGCTCCTGCAATAAATGCTCCTGCTGCCATTAACTGTCGGGGTTTATGCCTTCCGGTGATTCCAACACTCAATGGTAAAAATGGGCCTGATGCTTGTGGGCAAAGTCTTTGGTCATCATTCATCATAAAGTCAATTTTTACTGTTACTTGTTGAATAATAGGTTTTTTTTTTATGGGTTAATAATTTATTCAGTAATTCAGATGGCACAAGGTCCAATATAGGAAACAATCTGGTAACTGCTCAATGTGCAATTCTGCTCATTAATAATAATAAGTCAAGTATTTTATAGTCACTTAGTTAGATAACATGTTTCCATGTATGTGACTTAATGAACAAAAAAATTAAGTACACAATGTCAAGTTTTTCCTTTATCTCTTTAAAGAGCAGCTCAATGATTTTGGGGGTTGGTTAGTACAATACAGAGAACACAGGGACAAAGTACAAAATGGCACTTAACACCAATGCCAGTTTTCATCTTGTTATGGTTATAACTAAGGATATTATTAAATTTTGTGTTATTTGCTTTTCTTTAGAACATAAATCAAAGCCATTAACAAACTTGAGGTATATACACAATACATACACAACCTTATGCAAAATACTTTTCGTAAGTAACATTACATTTTAAAATATTGGAAACTCAGTATCTGTGCTGATTTGTATTTTGACTTAATGGAACAAGAACAACATTCAACTAGGGAGGGTTATACTGATAATAAAGCTCTTAAAGTTAAAAATGTCTTCCTCTCCCTTTGTACTTACCACAGGCTATACAATGTCCTGAGAGTACTCATTATGAGAAAAATGTCAATCACAGCTTTAAGACCTTGCTTTGGAAGGAACTAATGAGAAAGCAGATTGGAAGAAGAGACTTCATCTTTGTTTTCAAATACGTGGTCCTAATTTTTCTTCTTATAGAAAAAGTTTAAATCAGTTTATTATAAATATATCTAAACCATTAATTTTTACAGCTTTCAGATAAAGTCCAGCACTTCATTTATACAAAGTCTATGACATAAGAGGTCAGTAGAGATCATCTAATCTTAAGTCATGACATCATCCATTCAAGTCCTTGGCATAATCCCTCGCCAGTAAGAGCACAGCATGCCTGTGTATGCCACTGGTGATCTTTAATGGATGTCAGTTTCAAAAACTGGGAAATTTCTGCTACAGTCATGCATTCTTTAACATTTTGTTTATTAGCAAAAATCAGCAATCCAGCTTTCCATAGATCCTCGTGGGCTAACATTTTATAGAGGTCTTCTCTAGTTACAGAGATCCTTTCTCTGTCTGTACTGTCCACAACAACAATTACAAACTCTGTGTTAGTATAGTAAGTGTTCCAGGAAGAACGAAGAGATTCTTGGCCACCAATATCCCACATTAGAAAACGTGTATTATTAATCACTATCTCTTCTACATTACTTCCTATTGTAGGGGGTGTAAGTACAACTTCATTCATAGAAAATGAGTAGGGCCTCCCCGGCGGCGCAGCTGTTGAGCGCTGGGTTGTGAGGCTGCCCGCAGCCTCGGAAGCGCCGGTTCGATCCCCGGCTGCTCCCCGGCCACCGGTGGAGGGTCCCGCATGGCGCGCAGACCTCTCCTGCCGCTCACTGCTCCCCTCAGCAGTGTCCTTCGGTCCTTCTGCCTGCTCTGCTCCCCGCTCTGGCTCTGGTGAATTCTCTCACCCTCCCGCGCTTCTGACTGTACCCAGTGCTTGTATATGCCGCGGACCAGCACAGCAGTAAACGATGAGGCCGTCTCAGGGTTGAGAGACTGCGCGGGGTGGTCAGGGATTCGGTTAAAGAAATGACAAACAGACACACTTCAAGAAAGTGTAAATCTGAGTGCGCTTTAATTAAGTTAGTGGTCAGTATATATATGTTTTTTCTAAAGGCATAGGAACAGTGAACATCAAAGAGATCAGTTTGCTCATAGGCTTAGCTTAATTGACAGGGCAGTGATTTATGTCCGAAGTTACACCTGGACCTAGCCTCATTCCTAATTGGACAGGCTATTAATTCTTTCTACTGTTCTATATAATTATTTTCTAGTTGCACTAACTATCACTATTACCTACTCATTTTTACTCATAATTAATTGTCATGGGTGAATTTATTTTATAATGCAGTTAATATCATAGGTGCTAAAGTCAAGCATATAATAGAAGATTATTAAACTAACAATTCTATTATTACACAGTGTTTAGTAATGTTTCATTTGGATTAGCCTAATTATTAAATTATGTATGTTTTTTAATTAGCAATCAATGACCAGAAAAAGGAAAGATTTTAGAGAAACAGTTGTAGCAGAATAAAGTTTGTGGGCCTTGAGAAAGCGAGATAAGGTTCCAGGTGGTCTGCATTTCTTTTAATCATCTCTGTGGCGGCTTCTGGTGGTCGTCATCTCTTGGCAGGCATTCGGCCTTTCTGCACCTTAGGGAGTTTGCTGTTCTCCCCCTGCGCGCACGGTTCCTTGCCCACGCCGGACCTCAGGGACCATGGCAACAGCCATTAGCCCTGAGGGTCACTGCAGGGGGAGGTGCAGCATGTATAAATAAATAAATTTTAAAAAAAAGTTTATAAAAAAAAAAAAGAAAAGAAAATGAGTAAAGAATGGTAGTTTTCCCTGCATTATCCAGCCCAACAATGATAACTTTGTGCTCCAGGCAGTCTCCCTAAGGCGGGCTTTGTATCTCAGGGCTCTTAGGGTTCGTTCTACTTTGAGATCAATTTTGCCCAAAGCAACGAATTTTATTGTGTGTGTGTGTGAATAATAGGGTTTTGAGTGACTTTCAAGGGTTGTTTGATGTTTGGAGCCTGCCGAATAGGTGGTAGCAGCTTTGGTGGTTCGTCCAGTATCGGCCAAAAAGCACTCCTTGCTTGTCATGGGCTGTGATCCATGTGTGGTTTCTAATGGGGCTTCCTCTATCAATCGATCCCAGACTGGTAGGTGAATCTGCAACCTTGAAGGGTTCCCATCCTACCAGTTTAAGTCTGGTGTTCTCCATGCAGTCTGCACGTAGCACATTTTCCATTGTGTATTAAATCTTGGGTGTTTAGTTACCGCATCTACAATTCCCCATTCACATCTTTTTGGTAGGGGTAACAGCATGTAAAAATAAATGGGTTCTCCAGCCGAATGCATAAGTTTAGCCTTCTCACAATCCATATTCATTGTTTCCCAGAACTTTAGTGAATAATTCATTGGAACCCTGTATTCCGGAATCCAGTTTTGTAAATCTCTGTACATTAATGTGGTCTTTTGTTGAATCCGATGTGGGTTAAACCGAAATTTTGTATATTCTCCTTGGATGGAATCTGTAATATTCCATTTTATATTTTCATCCATTTTCACAATTAAGGGTCTTTGAATGGGTTTCATATCCAATGGAGTAGCAGACACCGAAACTTCGTTGGCATTCGGTATTTCAGACGTAGTGAAGGTATTGTTCCATCTTCCCTTTCTTGGTTTTTGCATCAGTGACCATCCTATGAACATCATGTTAGTCACATTGGCTTCTGGTTTGATTTCACCAAGTGGGATTTCACCAGAGTTGTATTGGAACACCGGAAGCTTGAGATTTGGTTGATGTTGGCAATCGGCATTCATCTCGGTGTAGTTATGATCGCCGTATATAACTGCCGGGGTCATATTACATACAGATACATTAGTGGAATGTATGGTAATATTGTGATGCTGAAGTTGGTGCCATGAAAAGCCTCTTTCTGTAAACTGTGGCTCAGTGCCTGCATGTCCTGAATTTATTGTATGCTTATTAAGTTGGGCAATTAACTCCCACTGGCCATGGGAGGTGTTTACTACATGCTCATAGTCTCCGCAAACATAAGTGGGAAATATGATGTCCTTATCCCTGATGCGGAGCTGGCCACAGAGCAGCGTGCAATTGGTGTTTGCGCACATAGATCGTCTCCAGTGTTGTCTGTGAATTCTCCAGGTTGTCTCACGTGGCCTGTTAAAATGATCGGCATCTTCCAGGGTTGTACTCCTAGTGACATCATTTTCTGCCATTCCTCTTCTTTGGGAAATCCATTGTCCTCTATTTGGAAAAAGGTATCTTGTTCATGAATGTAATAATTAAATGTTTCGAAATTTCCATATACTGGCAGGTTTGGAAAATCAGCTCTGCAAGTCATGGTTACATTAGCCACATTAATGTGCCCACACATTAAGCTGTGGATATTTTTTAAATGACATTGGACATGCTCCTCCAAAGGGTCTTGGTGGCAAAGTAATATGTTTGTTCCATGTCATATTATTATGAAATTTATCTGTTTTCTGACTAATGTTAGCAATCTTTATATAATCCATAGCGGGGCTGGGGTGGTGGACATGGTTTCTTCATCGTCTTCATCGTCATAACTCTATACCCTTCCTAAGCTATAGGTGGTTCCAACACTTGCTTTTCCCATACTCCTCTATATGCTGTTAAAAATTGGGTCCAATTCTGTCTCTGCAGGTGAAAATGTCATCACTGTCTTCGGGTGAGGGAATCACTCTGGTGGTGAATGGAATGTTTGTCTTCTTTCCCGTAACGTGATATTCAATCTTTGTCGTCTTTGGCTCAACTTCCTAATAATAATTCACCAACACAGCCGTCGCTTCTCTGCCTCTCTCCATTCTTCATTTAAAGCACATCTTATTGAGGGCCTCCTCTGTGGCGCAGCGGTTGAGTGCTGGGTTGCGAAGCTGCCCGTAGTTCTGCAGCGCCAGTTTCATCCCCGGCCACCGGGCAAGGGTCCCGCAGACCTCTCCTGCCGCCTGCTGCTCCCCTCAGCAGTGTGTTTCGTCAGTGTGTCTGTTCTGCTCCCCACTTTGGCTCTGGTGAATCCTCTCACTCTCCTGCACTTCTGACTGTACCCAGTGCTTGTATAAATAAATAAATAAATCTTTAAAAAAATAATAAAAAACAAAGCACATCTTGCTGGGTTTCTTTCCAAAATATTGGTATTGTTGTCCCTGTCAACATTTTCTTTATACATCATAGCTGGGCTGCCTGGTGACGTGTAGGATTCTCTGCACGTTGTGAAAAGTTCATGTGCAGGGTTTTTGCACATTGTTAGTATTTATGCCAAAAATTGTCCATATTTCCACAGTTCTTGACTTTTCCCGTGGCACCATGGTTGTATCAATTTGTAAGGGTTTATTGTTTCCTTTGGTCTTTCATGTTTCACTGTCGTGGTTGGTTCGGTGGATGTTGACGAATCTTCTGGTTTTAGCAGTAGTAGTACTAAGAGTACTGCTCTCCCTTTCCAGGAAAGGTCTCGACAGGACAGAGGGTGTGGTTGGTCATCCACTTGAATTTCCAACCGTTTTCAGTATTCCCAGCGGTCTCGTTGCAAGCGCGGCGTCCACAGAAAGGGTCATGTCCGGTTAAGATGATGCCGGCGGAAAGTCTCCAAGAAACACATCAGGCGGCTGACGTGCAGTGTGATATCACCCATCCTTCCGTGCTTGTAGCTGGTTGGTTGCTGTTAGCTGCAGCTGTCCTTTGCCTCCTGTGGTCCAAAACGCCTTCTCCGTTGCCGGCATGACAATAGCCTGTGGGATAAGCAGATTGAAACTCGCTTCTCCTTTGTATACTTCCTTAGGCAACAAGACCTTATTTTCTTTAACTCCTCTGTCTATGTCACATATCTCTCCAGGAAACACTTCATCAAAGGGACTTTTTCTGTGAATTCCAAATCTCTGGTTGAGTTCAGGGAGGGGCTGGGCCTCAGGGACCCAGAATGCAGGAATTCAGGACCCGGTGCCAGTCCCAGGCACACAGCGGCGCTCAATAAATTCACACTCAGCAGCTTCGTTTCAGACTCTTTTCCGTATTCAGACTTGCAAAGGGGCGCAGCGAGCAGGAGGCCGAGCCCATGTCTGCCCTCCCGCGAAGAGGAGCTGCCCAAGGTGGAGTCCAGGCCAGGCTGGCCGGCCGAGGGGGCCTCCTGTGCTCCCTTCCCCCAGGGGTGGGGCCCTGCTCAGAGGGGCCGGGGGAGGTTCTGGGGGACATTATAGTGTCTTTTTGTTTTCTCTTATTTCTTTTATAAAGATTTATTTATTTATGCATACAAGAGCTGGGGGACAGGCCAGAGGTGCAGGGGGTGAGAGGATCCACTAGAGACAGAGTGGGGAACAGAACAGCTCTGTGTTCTCTCCATTATTCCTGCTCTTGCAGTTCCTTAATTATCCCGTCCACTTCCTCACGGCCTCCTTTATGGGGTGCTGGGGAGTAAAGCTCGTGGGGTTGTCGGTTGTCTCACCGTTCTACTTTCACTTCTGCCAAGTTACAGCACATCGGCTTTATTCGCTTAAAATCAAAAAGTGGCTTCCAAATCCTATTAATTTCCTTTATCCCTAAAATATCCACGGTGCCTGGGCAAATAGGGCATCCACTGGTATTCTGGGTTCCCCTCCTTGAATCCATATTTTCTCCTCATCAGCCCTTTGACAA